GGGCGGCCCCCGGCGGCCGGCGCGACGTCCCCAAATCGAACCTCGGTGGCCACGTTCGGAAGCGGAACTCTGCCGGGGCCGCGCCGGCTACATTGTTTCCTCCCCCCCGGACTCCCCTCCCGCCCCCTTCCCCCGCCTTTCTTCCCTCCCCGACCCGGGCTACGCGGCCGTCCCCCCGCCTGTCTGGCCGTCCTTCCTCCCCCTATTTTCGCATCCATACACCTCTTTGTACCGCACCCCCTGGGGACCCCTGCGCCCCTCCCCTCCCTCTTGGCCTCATGGACTGTCCTGAAGGCCGCTGATGCCGCCCGCGGTGAGGTGGCCTGGACCGCAGTGCCCCGAGAGAGGTGAGTACTGGGCAGCCCCCAAGGAGGTGGGTGTCCGAGTGTCCCCTGGAAGGGAGGAGGTCGCTTGTCCCGCCTCTAAGGCCACCACTGCCGCGTCCACACCCATCGCCCCCCCACCTCCTAACTGGGTTCGAATTCTCCCGGGAATCACTGTCAGAACATTACTGGGAGGGAGCCACGAGGGAGGTACTGCCCTGCACCACAAGAGACTTAGGTTAGCCGAGTCCTACCCCTCAACCCCGTGTGGAACAGAGTGGGAAGTGACTAGACCCCGAGGAAGAGAATCAGTATGGGTTGGGAAAATGGGCTGGACTATAGGGAGTTTGGCCCTTCCTGTTCAGGGCCTCCCTGACCGGACTCTGACTTGCTTGGTTCTGAGGTCTTGTTGGCTCCAAGCAGCCCAGGGCCATGCTACCTCCCTTGAGCCCTGCTAGAAGCCTGGGTCCTTGAACTGAGTCTGTCACCCTTGGCCTGCCAGAGGACCAGGCTTAAAGCAAGGGACCTCTGACCCTTGGGTGGAGAAACTGGGCAGAGCTTCCAGTCTGAGTGGAGGTGACACTGGACATTAGTACTATGCCCCCACCTTTAGCACCCCGGTCAGCCCATTTCCCAGCTCCTCAGGACCCAGACCAGTTGTTTGAAAGGGGTGTGTCGAGTCACTGGAGCTTTGGAGC